TATTGTAATTGTGAGCTTTAGCTATTTTCAGTGATTTTTACACTGGTGGGTATCTATTGTGCTTGTTCATGTATAATGCAGTTTGAGTAATTCTTGCTGGGCAGATCTGGCCATGACAAATTCCCTCAGTGTTTGCTTGTCTGGAAAAGACTTAATTTCTCCATCAATCATGAAACTTAGCTTTGCAGGATATAAAATTCTAGGCTAGCAGTTGTTCTATTTAAGAGGATTGAAAATGGGGTCCCACTTCCTTCAGGCTTGTAAGTTTTCCACTGAGAAATCTTCTGTTAGCCTGATGAGTTTTCCCTTATAAGTCAGTTATTACTTACATCTAGCTGCTTGTAGAATTTTCTCTTTCACTTTGACTTTGGCCACATCAATTAATATGTCTTGGAGGTGTCCTATTTGTTTTGAATCTTCCCAGCATTCGATGGCTATCTTGTATCTGGATGGCTGGATCTCTGGCAATACAGGGAAGTTTTCCTCAATAATTCCCTTGAATAGATTTTTCATCTTTTAACTCTTTCTTCTTCTCTCTCAGGGATACCTATAATTCATATGTTAGTTCACATCACAGAATTTCATATCTAAGTGATTGCTCCACCTTTTTTGTTCTCCACTCTGTCTCTTTAAATGACTGGGTTAGCTCAAGAGCCTTGTCTTCAAGCTCTGAGATTCTTTCTTCTCCTTGCTTTAGTCTGTTGCTGAAGCTTTCTGCTGCGTTTTGAAATTCCCTAAATGACTCTTACATTTCTTTAAGTTCTATTATATCCTTCCTTACTTTGTCTAGTTCTTTAGTGACTTTTTCATTGATTTCCTGAAATATTTTTTGGCTTCTTTTTGTTAGTTTTCAACTTTCTCTTCAATTCCTTTGATCTTATTTGCCACCCATGTTCTGAATTCCATTTCTTTATTTTGACAATTTCCTTGAAATTGGAGTTCACTGCTGTAGCTCCATAGTGATCCCTTGTGGGTGTCAATTTGTTTTGGTTTTTCATGTTGCCAGGGTTGTTTTGCTGATTTCTTCTCATCTGAAACATCTTTTCTCAGCTCAGGGCTAACAGGTTTGCAGAGCACCTGTTCTTTGCTGGGAACTCTCCTGCTTAATTAGAAGAAGGGGAGTTTGCTAGATGGTACTTTTTTTCCTACTCTGGAATGTTGATGTGGCAGGAGAGGGGCATTTGCACGAAATCCAGTAATACAGCTTTTCTGGTTTGTTCTGTTCTTTTGTGATTGCCTCTGTTCACGCCTGTGCTGGATGATTTTTTGTGCTGGGTGTTGGGTTGTTCACCATATAGTTGTAGGATGTTTGAATTAGGAGCTGGATGAATCCCTCTTCACCAAGGCAGGTTTTGTGTGGATTGTTTTGCCCAGGGTTTTCCTGTAGAGGTAACAGTAGCAGCTGGGTGATGCTATCTAGGCAGTCATCTTGTGTTCCTGGGCTGTGGGTGTTTGCCCAAACCAGGTCCTAGTGTACTGGCAGCTCAAGGCTGGAGTATCCATGTCAGTGTGTTGGACTTCTGAGCAGTTCCACCTGTGACAGTGTTGGAGGCTCTGGGCTGGAGTAGCTGGTCTTGGGGCCCAGGTGCATTGCAGAAATCTCAGAAGTGGTTTCACAGGTGTGGTGGGATCTGATCTCTAGAAGCACAGTGGCAGAGCCTTGGTCTTCTGTATGGAAGTCTCAGATCTGAGACTGAAGAGGAGCCAGAAGCAAGACTTCTGAGCAGGGCCTCAGAGCTAGAAGCAAGGCCATGGTGGGGCTGATCTGACCTGGGTAGTGGGGTCAGGGTCAAGCAGGCGGGATGCACTTGGGGCATAGAAGGTAGAATCAGGGCTGAGCCAATGGTAGTCTGTTCCACAGACTCAGGGACTGCCTGATGCCAAGTCATGCAGGCAGAGGTCAGTTCTAGCATCCCAGGGACCATGGAGTTCTCCTTGCCCCTACATGCCCACCAAAGCAGTCACCCAAAGTCTCCCAGGTTGGAGCCTGCAGCATCCTAGTTAATTCCTGTGCTCAAATCCTGTTGCACTGCAGGGGAAGGGTGCTTGGCTTCCAGTCACAGTATATCACTCAGGGGAGCCTCTGGTTAGTCTGCTCCCTCTCCAGCCCAGGGTGGGTATGTGAAGTCCACTGCCACAAAGCTGGATCCTGCTTTGACCTGGGACCATGCACCCAAGAGCTCAGGTTGGCTTTACCTACTGCCCAATCCCCACCACACCTCTTGTCTGGTGCAATGACTCTGCAGACTCCAGGAAGAACCCAGTCCATCCACATAGAAGTCTGTGGTGGCAGAGGGAGCCCTCTCACATCTCAACTACCATGCCCGTGGGGTGAGTGCAGTACCCCAGCACTCTATCCTCCTATTCTTCCCCACACATACTTTGATCTTATCAAATGTATCATCCCATTACCTTTTTTCCACACTAAGTATCCCATGTTGCTTCTCTGTGATTTCACAATATTCCTTCTGAGAAGAGCAATCCATATATAGACAGTTGCCTGCAATTTTCACTTCTTTCCTTGAGACCAGTGTGTTTGCAGGCTGCTTCTAGTCTGCCATTTTTTCTGTTCTCCATTTCTTCATGTTAATGATTTACTATAACTGTGTTTCATCCCATCAAATTTGAGATGTTGTGGAAGGGGAGTTCCCACAGGGACTACCCCAAAATGTACTGAGATGGGACCTGCTGGGATTGCAAAAAAAGAAGTACTAAATGCCAGAGTGATCAGTTTAAAGCATTTATTAGGAGAACTTACAAAGTTTAATAGCAATCCTCAGGATGAACAGTGAGTGAAACTTGGTGTTCTACCTAGGTATGTACACAGTGAGGGAGGACAGGGTATGGAGTTTTCATGAAAGTTTAAGGAATTTGGCTCAGGGCCAGGGCATTTCTTTCAGTGTTTTTGGCAACAACCTAGATAACTTTATCAGTGCCTATGAATATTCAAGGTCCCAGTTTTGGCTGAAGCTGGGAAAAACCTCCATTTGGCTGGGTCACAGAGATGTCAAGGCACTGTGATTTTTGGTCATGACACAGAAAGAAAGCAGGGAAGCTGGGGAAGCCTACATACTAGAGGATGTCTTTTCCTAGCTTTCTCACCCATACAACCTGAGACATTTACTTTAGTCTTGAATCCACCTTAACAGTTGTCTGCTCTTTACTGGGGAAGGCTTAATTTTTAGATATTAAAATTAGACACAATTTTGGACATATATGCTATAATATTAAAGCCTTGGATTTGCTCAAGGATTTTTTTTAATGTGCTTTGAGGAATCTAAAGCAAAAGCAATCTACCTAAAACTTATATTTATGCATTCCTACTACATTACAGATCTTGTCATTGTGCAGCTATGATTTAATAAGACATTTTAACAGTAATAAAACATTTCAGAATTTTGCTAATTGTTATTTTCTAAAAAGTTTAATTATTTCAATGCAAATACATGGAAATCTTGTAGAACTAGGAAAAAGTTTATGGGTAAAAATTCAATATCAAATATGTAAATATTCAACTTCTAATGTGGAAATCATTTATTTTTACAAATTACAAATGGTTATATTTGTTTGCAAGGTGCTTGTAACACACACACACACACACACACACACACACACACAGCCTTTAAAATATCATAACAAAAAACTGTTTTGTAAGAAAGGCATGACAGCCAATAGTTATCTAGTTAAACACAAATTTATTGTCAGAGATTGTGAGGTTTTAGCTGTGAAAACTGTAGGATGAACAACAAATAATCAATTCTAAGATTTTGTCTTCTCTCCTAATAGGTGAACATTATACCACTGATTGCCAAAGCAGATACAATTTCTAAAACTGATTTACAGAAGTTTAAGAGTAAGATAATGAATGAATTGATTAGCAATGGCATCCAGATATATCA